AAGTACAGACTATAGAACAAATGAAGAAATATTTATGTTTTTAGATTTTTATAATAGGTTGTATATTTTATGCATTTTTTTTTTCTATCGATCTTATGGCATCGTATTAGCTGTTAACTTTCCACTGCAGAATGGGCAGCAGCGTTCTTTTTAAATTATCACCAAAAACCTAATTTCGATTGCCAACCCGTCTGCCAAGCATAGCAGCTACTGGGAAACCTCCACCCCTTTATTGTTTTCTATATAATATGAAAATTAATGAATATGTTTGGATTTTTATAAATGTTTCTTAAATATAAAAGAGTGTTATAAACTTTCATGGAAGATTACCATCTTCATCATTTTTATTGAAACATTTAAATTTTTACTCACAATATAGATATTAAATTTTTAATTTGTAAACGAGTTTTCATAGAATAATTTGAAATCTAAGCTTTCTAACACAAAAAAAAGCTTCATTCCTCAATATTTTCAGTTTCAGAATACAAATAATAAAATTGCCACCAGCGGCAATTTTATTGTAATAGATATTTTGTACAATAATATTTTATTGCGCAATTTATTGGTAAAAAAATTCTAAGAAACATTGCGTGCTGCTCAGCGTTTAATGTTACGGAGACAACCTATTCTCTAGATGAATAAAGGAACGTTAGAGTTTTCGTAGAAAATGTCCCATTTACCGCATGTTACCACCTGACGCCTAGTTACCTTCGCTATTATATAATCGTGTCTGTCGCCTGACTTCTTATATGTAATAGTTTTGTTATTGAATCCTGCTAATATCATCGAAATGCGAAAGTGTGTATAGATATTTGGATGTTTGTTATTCAATCACGCTAGAACGGCTGGATGGATTTGTCTGAAATGTGGTAAACAGATGGACAACATTCTAGATTAAAAGCTTTCATACTGCAACCTGGCAACGTCTGAATTGTCTGTTAGTTTTAAAAAACCATTAACTTTCAGTATTTTTGAATGATTATTTGCGAGTGTTGATAGCGAAATAAGACGTTATCTTCGTTAATTGTAAATGCGATAAGATTCTTATATTTCAAATAATGATGATTAATAAGTATTAACAAACAATGATGTAACTATATTTTTTATATATATTATTATACTATAGAAATAATTTAGACCATTATGAATAGATATACCTATTCAAGAATATTATTGTTTGTTTTATTTAGAAAACGAATCTGCAATTATAAAGTAAGGAAATATCATATTAGATTGCTATTTTTATTATTATTTCAGCCATTAACTGTCTACTGCTAAATATTAGCTTTCCCCATAAAGGGAGTTTTGCTAGTGGTTGCCACGCTTAGTAGGTGGGTTAGCATCCGCAGTTAGGCTTTTAGAAATGTTTAAAGAGGGACGTTGCTGCCCATCCCTCGCCCTCCCGTAGTCACCTCCTACAACACCCACGGGAAAAGAAAGGGTGGTCTATTCTATGCCGAGACACACGGCGAAGTTAGAAGTTAGACCGCTACACTATATGTATATTACTATAAATGTCGATTTATATATATATTATTTTGATAAGTTGTAATAAAATTGAAATACAATTATTTCTGTTTGGGCTAGTTTAATGGTGATAATCCGATACCGGTTGCATCGCACGGCTTGAAGGTCGTTTTACCACACAAGAGAGTGCTGTCGCATCGCATCTGAGCGCAACTATGTTCAGATTGATAATAAAAAAAAGTAATATGGCGTTGGCGCGAAAAGTGATGATGGATTGTTAGCAGCATACGCTCTGTTTCGTGTATTTATTTTATAATAAAGGACATCTAAGTGAAATTTATAGTTTGCTACGACGTGGTTTTGTGTGCAACTTGTTAGATTTTATAATAAGACTAAGTTTCTATTAATGGAAAAACTGATATGTGTGTAATGGACATGTGAAGTATCCGACATCACGTTGTATTTAAATACAACCGGATTCGGAGCCCGTGAGGGTCCTTACCTGCGCCGTGGAGTAAGACAGCAACCCCAGGAGGCAGGTGAACCAGCACATCAAAGAAGTACGACTAATTTAAGTTGTTGCGAACGGCATACCGGTCTAGGAAAGTCGTCGTTAACCGCTCTCTCTGCCGACCCTTGAGCTTTAAGTTTTTCGCCCATACAATTTCCTTTATTTACTTGTTACCATATTTATAAATAGTATAACACCATTCTGTTTCCACCAGGCAACATAGTGATGCCCTGTTTGAACTAAATACTAACAATAGGTATAACTAACAACATTAATGGTAACTCAATATTTGGAAAGTTTTGTTTTCGTACAAGCTGAATACTGTCTGTAGCGGACAGCAAAATTGTATATGCTCTTGGTTACTAATGTCCGGCAGATGTCTCCTGTTAGACTAATTGTCTGTAAAACAATACAAACAAAGGCTGCTCATTGTCATTTGACTATTAGAGTTAGATAAATATAAATTTTCCTAAAGTCAATGACCTTGTAGCTTGTAGATTTCACGGACTATTTTATTTTAGGTTATGTATTGTATGCGTATATATGAATGTATGTATAAGTAAAGAAAATTGTTTATAACCTTTTTTTTTTGATGGGTGAAAATAGAATGGTAACCCCGCCTGGCGGAGCATCAATGATAGAGAGAGGGTGATAGATAAGAATGAAAACAGGCCAGTTAGCCTATCATGATGAATTCATTAGAAATTAATCATGATAGTTTCCAGGGGGATCCGCGAGGAGGTTGACCTGGTTGGATATATTGCTAGCAATGGGATTCTCAGGCTCCATTACTAACAATCCCTTTCTCCCCGTATAACTTTTTATTTAACTTCACCTGTCCCAGCATATGTAATTAAATAGTTAAATTTGACCTACTTTTTATTATTTAAGCGGGCCGACCGGAAAAGCTAAAAACAGATGGCACGTAATGGCCCTTGTTATGGTTATTGATTTGTGTTACCTACCAGATTGAGCTATATAGGTCGAACGACATAATATTGCCATTAATCAATCATCAATGATGAACCCTGATCTGATGTGTGATGATGGTACCGGAAAATGGTTAAAATTTATTAGATTTATCTCGATACTAGTTGACTGACAGATGGTGATCGGGGTCTGATCAAAGAGCCTAAAGGACTGTATATTATAGCCTTGTTTTTTAAATTATTTTTAAATATAATTTTATTCTTTTTGCTCAATCACACGAAAATGATTGATTGGATTCAATGACGTTTCGAACTCAGTGGTCGTAGATCAAATCACAGATTTTTTTATTTGAATGATAAATGTGCATGGTGTTAGGGTTTTTAACGATCATATTATTTTAGACATAGTATATCTGAATAAATACAAATAATGTTACCAGAGATTTAAAAGAGTAACTGTTGAGTTTCCTGTAGGTTCTTCTAAAAAGATTCCGAACCCTGGAGTAGATTTAAAAAAATTATGATTAAAAAAACTTTTGTAAACAAGTAATGATGGTTTGAATTTGATTAATACAAAGGGTATTTTTGGTTTGAATTAATTTTATAATAAAATGTAAACCCTATACAAATTAGCGTAATTCATCAAAGACATTGGAAGCCCTTCTCTATTTACCTGACCATGGGATTAAAAACGTATGAACCAATTTCAAAACGGATTATCCGTTATGTAAATTAAAATAATTACCAAAACAGTGAGTTTAGGAATCTTTTGTCGCGATTTTTGAGGAAAATCATTTATTTTATAAATTACCAGTGATCAGCCCCGGCTTTCCATGACTAGATAAAATTTTTGAAAATAATATACAGCCTGTATTACTTGCTGATAATAAAGCTTTTTATAAGTGTAAGAATTTTTAAAATCAGTTGAGTCGTTTTTGAGTTTATCTACAATAAAAATCAAATTTTTGCTCTATATATATCTATATTAGATATAGGTAGATAATATAACGTGAAATATGTTTTATCTGTACATAAATATGAATAAGCTACTTTATAATGAGACAGACCTCTATCCATCAATGCAGGAACCTTGGCCTGCAAGGTTATTATATATTAATGAGTCTCCAAAGGAAAAAGCTGGCTACAAGCTTTACTACATTATGAAAGCTACAATTCAATAGATATGATGGGTAAAGGACATTGTTAGTAAATGAGTAGTAAGAAGGAATAGTCCTATTGCCCTATTATATAATATTATGTAAAAGGGATGGCGTGTAAATCTTGACATAATAGGCAACCCCATCCTTTTTCAAGGGCGTCGTAAGAGGCGACTAAGGAAGCTTGTGTTGGAAGGGTGGCAACATCCTTCTTAAAACATCACCAAAAGCAAAACTACGGTTGCCAACCTGCCTGCCAAGCATGGCAATTACTGGCAAAACCCCCGTATGGAGAAGGCTATGTTCAGCAGTAGACAGTTAATGGCTAATACAACTATAATGCATGTACCATACGTAATATTTAAGTACTGTTCGCATTCTTCACCAAAATCTGGCATGCAAAATTCATTTAATTGTGCTATAAATGAATATAAACAAAAAACAGATGTCACCCATAATATTTGATAGTATATACGAGTATAGTAGAAATATAGTATTATATAGTAGAAATATGTTTATTTATTGATAATGTATCATTGCACAAATTAAAAATAATCTATATCTGTGTATAATAAGACACTTCTTTGAACTGAATTGAAGTATCTCTGATATTGTTTGTTTTTTTTATTGCAAGTGGCACTCCAATTAAATTTTAGCAATTATAAAAGTTGGGCCCTTTGTAGATTATGTATCTATCTTTGTATTACATCATAAAATTACTTTTAATTTTTCACCGATTTGTTGTTTAAGATAATAAAGTTAAATATTGTTAAGTTACGTAAACAAATCAAAAGCAATATTTATTTTTCACTGATTGAATAACGTATCTACTTATCGACATACTGCAAAAAATCTATGACATAGATAATATCAGTTGTTTTTATATACTTTGTTCTTTTTTGTATATGCATTCTTTTATCTATTTTTACTGTATATGTTTGTTATTGTTTGTGTGCTGTGAGTAATGCAAATAAATTCTCTATTTATTAAAAATTTGATATTTTGAAAACTTATGCGTTTTTAAGATATAAAGGTAAGCGATGGCGTTTTTTAGCTTCTTATGTTTTTCGATTCACGTGTGTGTCTCTTTGTATTTGTCTAAGCGTATACTATATCTTATATAAAATATTGATATATGTTCATTACTTGTTAAATAACCATATAATATGAGCTCTGCTTAGTTTGAGTTATATGATCTCCGATTTGGTTTCGTGGTTAAATATCGTAATTGAAATTATATTTTCTTCGACAATGATAGATTCATTGTCTGCCTACCTAACAGTAGAAAAGTAAATAATCACCCTTAGAGGCGACTAATTAAAGCTTGAACCTCGGTAAGTAAGGTCGACCACTGCTGGCACTGTTGCAGTGATGCATCAGTCAGCACTACAGATCAATGTGTCATTGCACGTATAAATACATACTTGTTAACTTCAATGACTTCATAAAGCGTGAATGTATAGATTCATGATTGGGATATGTCACTTTGGTTGTTAAAAAGATATATCATCATACGAATAGTGAATTATATTCATAGGTTACAGTAAGTTTCTACGTGATGGAATAAAGAGATTTGTCACCACTTCTTTTCATCGAAAGAGGGGGCGCTATGGAGACCAAGCATAATACATTAGTTCAACAGAAAAAAACTAATGCCGCTTACATCAGCGTGGTAGTAGTAGACTATTGATGAATTTCTAATTCCGCCCTGATTGTATGGGACATATTATGACATAGCATACCTTGACTATGCGTGACCTTCTAAGTATTAAAGAGAAACCAGAGGGGGACTTTGTATAAAATTCATTTGCTTGGACACCTCTGTCCCACTTGTATTTCTACCGAGAAGCAGTTGTGTATGCATGGTTATGTTTCGGTTTAAAGAGTGGGATATGTCGGTGAATTTACAGGGTACAGAGGAATAACACCTTAGTTCTCAGGAATGGCAACGCATCGGGGTCTCATGGGCGTAACAGTATACTCTGCTACGTCCATAGTACTACTCATGTTTGTAGGCGACGGTTACCACTTTCCATCAGGTGGGCCGTCAGTTTGTTTGAAATTCTAAGTTGCATAAAAAAAATGAAGCAAGTGACAATTCTATAAATGATCTGAACATAATTTGGAAATTCAAACATTTATGTTGGGATCATCTTTAGATTCCCGGATTGCAGTCAAGTGTAGTTAGACTTAGCTACTAAACTGTTAATTTGATATCTTTATTTTAAAAGGAGATTTGAAAATGTTTTTAATAGAGAATTATTATTAGTAATAGCTAATTTGCAACCGACTTCAAAAACTTCTCAATTCGATTTTATTTTCTTTACGTTTGTTGACTCATAACTTTGTTAGTTGTAAAATGATTTTTTTTTATCTGAAAATAGATACATACAGATTAGTCACATAGAAATTTTCACAATTGGTTCAGTAGTATAATTTTTAAATGGAAATAACCGAGTTTTCCCCAATAGAAGTCGGTTTTTATATGGAACACAATCTTTACTTCAGGAAATTATTTTAAATACTATTTTAATTACTCTACATTACTACAGTGGTTGTTAACACAAGTCACGAATTCACAATAATGTATTTTAATTTTAATTGTATCTACTCTACTAAATCACTCTTACTAAACATGATGCAAGCTAAGTCGGCGTATATCCGTATTGCTTGCTGGCGGGTGCCGATCGGCGTCGTTGTTCGAAATTTGAATTCCCGAAGGCAGCATCCGGCGGGAGTGCAACCTGGCCCTGCGCCAAGAATGCGCGTACGCAGCTAACACGTTGTGGAATCTCTCACGGAATTATGGCGTTATGATCTCGCACATGTTGTCGTGAAATTTCCGAGAAATAAAGAATATTCCTGAGTAATAATTATTGGTGTGTTTGGCAATGAAGTTCAAAGAAAATTTCAGGGACATTAGCAAATTTTATTATAATGATTACATACGCTTTAGCTATTCATTTTTACAAGTTTTTATTATTTAAACTAGTTTCGTTCGTGTGTTTTTCCGGTTTAAAATTCATAATTAATTTTTCACGTATTTCCTGATGCTAAAATAAGTTGAAATTTGGTATACTTGTATAACTTTAGTAAATAATTATATAATACCATGAACACGGTTTAAAGATGGATAGAGAGGGCGGACATAGAAACGTGGTAATAAACTAATAATTAATAAACGTAGATGTATAAAAATGTGATTTTAAAATATGTTCTATTATACTAGTATTCTAATGCCAAAAAGTAATAAGAAATTAAATTTTGTATTTATTATGAGATATTTTTTTATTTATATTTTGTAATTTTAAGGTAGAGAAACGCATGTCATAAATTCATTGAAATCTTTTTTATAGTTAAAAGTTTCGTAAGTACATATTATATTTTAATGTAATAATTATCGATTTAAATTACGTATATTTTATTTAAGAAAACTAGAACAGTTTCGGTACAATTCGCGACCCTTTATTATGAACGGTTGTGATATGCATTGAAATGTCTTAGTACTTATATATCTTCTCTATCTATATACATTTATGTTTCATTTGTCTATTATCTCATCAAGTATTTTTTTTATTATTATTATTTAATGGAGTAGACAGACAGAAATATTTTCTATTTGAAATTTCTTATATTTAATGAAAAGAATAAGATTTCCTTAATATTTACAACAAGGAAAAATATAAATTATGGTTAATTTAAATTAATCAGTAGATAATACTACGTATTATTTTATAGATAATCCATTTATTTGTTTGTTATAATTACAATGATAATACAGAGAAAGTCATAAATAAATAAATTTTCTTAAAGGTAACCATAATAATATATCAAGCAAGATATTCCTATACAAGGAAATACAAAGCCCTCTCCATTTGTTGCAGCCATCCGTCACCGCCCGACCAGTGATCGGCGCGTGCGTTCCTGGCGCCCATAGATTTATTATATGCATCACGGCTCTCCTCGTTTTAAGTAACCAGCAATACTAGAAACATCAAACGAATATTTTCATCATCCCAATTATTATTCACGTAATGATCGTTAAAAAGACGAATTTTATAATGATGTATTTTTCGCAATATTATGGTATTAATTTTATGCAGTAATACTAATGTCCTTCTGTGTGGTGGTAGAATGAATATTTATTTACAAGAAACATGGTAAGTATATAATTGTTAAAAATAGGTATAAGTCCTCATATTTCGTCATAATTAGGCATCTAAAATTTAAAATCTATAAAATATAAATGTGGATTGAATGTGACATTAAGACAAATAGTAATGTTATAAAAAAAAATACAAATATATCAAATACAGTTTCATGTCAATTTACTGTTTATAAATTCAGGCATAGATTAGGATGTATTCTAATATGCTTGACGAAGTCTAGACATACCGAGTGTTAGGTTCACTACCACGAGAACAGTCGACAGACGCTTCTGACTGTCTCATAAATGGTTATAGTCGCGATTTTATAATATTACAGAATTACTGTATTTATTACTGTATTTTAATACAAAAATCCAGAATAGTTCGAATTGCAGTCAATGATTACCTACCCAGATTGAAAATACAATGTAAGAATATATCACTTCTTAATTTTTCCTCTGAATGTTGTAAGAGCCGATTAAGGAAACGAAAAAAATACATTTAATTAACAAAAAAACAAGGAAATATTGTAATAACAGCCCATAACAAATGTGATCATTTGGACAGCATGGTACTATTACCTAACGAAGTTACAGTTACATTTTTATGAGGGGAAATTCGTGCATAACAGTTATACCATATAATGGGTTGTTAAAATAAGGGTCAGTATTTAATTTATATATATACAATAAGTATTCTAATATGCCTTATGAAATCTAGACATATCGAGTGTTAGGTTTACTATCACGAGAACAGTCGACAGATGGTTCCCAAAGAGGGTTGACGTCAGGCAGGTGGCCGGTCGTAAAACTAAAAACCAAATCTTTTTGTAATATGGATAAAATCATATTACACCGACCCCAAATGATTGGGATAAGGGTAGGAAGATGATGATGATGATATACAATAAGTATATACTTATTTCAATAGCGAAATGTCTTTTGCTCGTTGACTCTTCACAAAATTTCAAGAACGATTTCGCAACTATATAAATGATGAAGCTAATAATAAATATTATTCTGAAAAATATTCTATAGTTATAATAATTTCCACAGAAAATAAAATTGACTTTAAATTTAATAAATTCCAGGTATAAAGAATGAATCAACTGAACTGATCTAAGTCTAATTTGTCTTTTCAGTTGTTTACATTATTAAACATTGAGAAATCCTCTATTCACATTAATTTACATTAAATATATACGTTATAATTAATTCTTACTTTATATTGTTAACGTACCTACATTTTCATGTAGATACCTCGTAATTGAAGAGAGAAATCCTTTGAAATATAACCTGAACAATAACGACCTCCTAACGAACTTGTCGATGTAATGGAACGTTACTCATTCGATTTCTACGAAAGCGAGGACCGCATCATTCCAATTTAGAACTTATTGCAGAAGCCATATGGTTACCGTGATATTATGTTTAATATTTATAGAGTAGCTCTGAGTTTGTTTGGCAACAAACCATGGGAGTGTGGAGTCATTCATTCAGTCCGCTCCGTCGTATGTCGAAACATCTCAGTAGTTCTGTTTCACAATCACAGTCTCCATTAGACACTTCTTCCGGATCTATTTAGGTTGCGCATCGAGGTTATAATATAAGCCACCATGAAATGAACAAAGGGTATGTTTAATATGATTTATTTTCAACAAAATTTCATAACACTAATCTTATCGTATAAGTGCAGACTACACAAAGAGCACCTAAGCCATAAACTGACCTAATTTATTATCTAGGTAGCTATTGATGTTTATTAACAAAATAGTTTACTCATAAAAACTTTGTTTACAGTGCTTCACTAGACGTCACGTAGTAAGAAATTTGATACATAAAAGAAATATACCTACTTTATTATGTTGTTTTATATTTTATATTTTTTTCTATAAATATAAAATAAAACTATCAAAAATACTACTTAGTATTTTTTTCTAAATCGTAGTCGCTATTTGCAATTAATTTCATATAAATAATAAATGTTTTTCGGAAATAATTCATAATATTTTATGAATTGTAGATACTTTTCCTTCATATATATATATTTTAGAAGGGACGGGTCTTTGGGGACATGGTCGTCCTAACTTTTTATTCCGAGTAATGAGTATGTAGTTAACTTGAAAATCCATCACAGTTTATGAATATATATGCTCTTGATTGTAATTCCTGATGGATTCATCCGAAATTTTCCTGCGTCGTCGAATATTTAATTTAAACTTAAATTATGATTATTACGTTACGAAAGTGGAGAAATAAATTTTTTTAAAGTACCTACCTACATTTCGCGTCGTTGACATTAAAAAACGTTATTGTTATCACATTTTTTTTATTATTAATATAATGAAGTAAAAATCACCATATGAAAAATTTCAGGTAATCGTCACTTATAGACATGAACCTATTATCATTCCTATGTATGAAGATTTCAAATCGGAGTCAGGAGTGGTTTCAAAATTTTTATAATTTTATACGGATGCACATATACAAAGTCTCTTGTGATAAGTCTAATAAATTGTTTTAAAAAGTTTAAAAATAATTAGTATCCGTACTAGAGGGAGACTTTGTACAAAAGTCGATTGCTTGGGCACCTCTGTTCCATTCGTGTTTCAACCGTGAAGCAGCTGTGTTTGCATGGCTGTGTTTCGGTTTGAAGGGTAGGATATGGCGTGAATTTACTGAGTACAGAGGAATAACACCTGAGTCCTCAGGAGTGGCAACGCATGGGGGGTATCATGGGCGAAACAGTATACACTGTTATGTCCATGGTACTGCTCATGTCTATAGGCGACGATTACCACTTTCCATCAGGTGGGCCGTCAGCTTGTTTGCCAATCTAAGTACTATAAAAAAAAAAATTAGGCGCCTATGCACAGCTAGGTCACTCAAGATTTTATCTACTGTCAACGTCATAATAAGATACCGAAGGATATTTTGGATCTACCCTTTAATAAATTTAAGCACTTGTTAAACAAAACACACTAAACAATTACTTGAATGACAAACGTAAAAACAGACAAATGCTAAAAGACTGACGAATTTTTACAGATTCTTTTCAGTAGATAAGTACTTTTCAAATACTGTAGTAGATTTAAAAAAATTACAAATTAAAAGTACTTGTAAACAAACCTATTTAAATAAAAATGGGTTGTATTTGAATTTGAGTGGCTGAATAGATTTGATTTGGTACACAAATAGGCCATATTCAAATTTAACATAGAGAGTATATTCAATATAATTTACGTGGGCAAAGCTATGAGTTATAACTAGTATTGTATAAGTATGCGTTTGGTCAAACTTCGTCGATTCATTAATAGACACTGTTATGAATGAGTCGATGAGAAAATGCTGTTTGGAAACCTTTACGTAGACGCCAATAAAAAAATATTTCTCTCATTGTATTTATACAATCAACATTTTCACGTAAACTTCTAACACATGTGTAATATCATCGCTTACATAATTTAAAACACTTAACATGTTTAACCTCATTCTCGATTCGATTTCCAGATTAAATTACTATCGAAAGACTACCTAGACACGCTCTAGTTTCAAAACTATTAACAGAAACATTCTTAAAGAAAAATAATTCGGACGGATGTAGGTCTTTAATAAAATTTGAAAAATGTGCAAAAGAAAACAAATGTCAGAGCATTCATTCATAAAAATGTTCACTCTTAACGCGTTATGTAATCAAAATATAACGAATGAGGTTACAGATGTATAGTAGATTAAATATTAAACAGAGCGACCTGAAATTTTCACTGTTGATTATTTAGTTTGTATAATTAATAATTCAAATAACTGACAGTACAGTTTCAACTATGATATTTTATTACTATCAGGAGCTTGTATGATTATGACAAGAAATATAATTAATTCCTTATTACAGTATTGAATGGTTCATCAGTGATCAATATATATATTTAATTTTTACTTATATTATAAAATAATATTAATTTAACGTCTATTATATGTAATACGGAAATAATTTCACTTCTATTGCGTCACAAATGAGTCTTGTGGTCGAAATGGCGATAAGTTAATATAAATACATAAATATTGCTATAATAAATATATCGTTATATATTATTTACATAGTAATAATTTTCATCTCTTAAAGAGCATAAACCATGAAACGCGAAAATCTATATGCAGTCAATGTATTTCCGATGATAGTAAATATCGTTAATGAACTAAATTAATCAGAGAGATGAAGAGAATAGGAGTGATCTATCATCTTCATCATCATCACCTCAGCCATTATCCGTTCACTGCTGAACATAGGTCTCTCCTATAGACTGCCATAGAGAATGGTCCCGAGCCACATATATCCAATTACTCCCTCGACCATCCAATTACGCAATACGACCTCAAATAGGTCGTCACTCCATTTGTGGGAGGTCGTCCTATACTGCGTTTACCCGTACGGGGTCGCCGTTCAAGAACCTTTCTTCCCCATCGGTTGTCAAGCTATGTGATCAGCCTAATGCCACTTTAGCTTGCGCATCCTTAGTGTGATCTATATGGGCCAACAATCAACAAACGTTATGGACTTATAGTCAGGTCATATTCTATTTTAGGACAAAAGGGCCCCCAGTTTGGAAATTCTAATAAAATTCTATCTTTTTAATATTAAATATTATAATCCCATTGAAATATTACAAATGAGATGTTTGGATGTTCTTTACTCAATCACCCTTATACCACTGGATTGAACGAAATTTATTAGAGAGATAAACCATATTATAGATTAATATATAGGAAACGTTTAATGCTTAATCACGTAAACAAAACCACAACGTGCAGTTCATATATTCGTCTCTTAAATGATTGGAAAACGGTGTGAAACATTTCAGATGTTGTACCACTTTTATATGGGCTAACTGGCTTGTTTTCATTCTCATCTATCATCCTTAACTGGTGCTCCGCCAGCGTATCCCGTTAGCGCAGGCGGGGTTACCATACCATTTTCACCCATCAAAAAAAAAGTACCAATTTTATATGTTGATATTAAATAAAAATATACAGTTATTAAATCTAGTTGTAAAAAAACATATTCATTGAAATCTAAAATTCATCACTCGAGTCTGTCATTGAATAAATATAGTGGAAATTTGAGTAATATAATAATACAGTCAATTATTCTCACCTTTCCTTACTATATCAGTCTTTAACTGTCCACTGCTGAACATGAGCCTCCTTCTTGGGGGGTTTTGCTAGTAGTCGCCACGCTTGACAGGAGGTTTGCCAAGGCTTTAGAGATGTTTTAAGAGCGACGCTGCTGCCCATCCCTCGCCCTCCCTTAGTCGCCTCTTACGACACCCACGGGAAAGAAAGGGGTGGTCCTTTCTATGCCTGGACTACAAGGCCACCTTGCATGTTTGTGTATATATTTTATATTTACATACCAATAGCAAAGGTAAAACTATTTTAAAATCTAATTATTAAATTATGTATCTAAAAGAGATGTATCCTTTGAAAAGGTTATTTCCCAAGTCTCGTCAAAAAAATTTGGATATTTTGACGAGACTGTCGAGTTGTTTGATCTTTGGTCGCAGCTTTTATTTGTAACATTCATTGAGTTGAACCACTACAACGAAATACTAGAATGGCCAGAAACTACATGTTTATGGGCTAAGGAATTTACGGTTATGCTAGATGGCAACCCGCCCATTATGTTGCGAAATTTATATATTTATTAAGTTTTTCATAAAAACAGGATGTTTTGCATTGTTTTCGTTGCTGCAATAGACTCGGTCAATTAATTGTGAAATTTGGGGAATATACTTGTCACTAAACTGTTGCATCACTATAGAATATTTACAACATATTAACTTTTTATTAAAAGTAATTACAATAATTTAGAATTTAATTCTATATATAAATCGAGTTTTATCTGACAAATTTAGTTTAGAAAAACAGTTACGGAAATGTCTAACATTCGTGATGCAGTTGGATTAACTCGTTAAACTATAGATAACATATCTTTATAATTTTATATCTTTATATTTTTTATTATAAAACTTATAAGAATTATAGTAAAAGGATTGCTCTTTAGGTTTGAAAGAGCTAGCTCAGTAAATTTTAATCAGATATGATTCTTAATAACGATATAATAATTCTTTAGTATTTTTTTTTCATACAAGGTATAATATTTTTACTTAGGTATCATAGATATATCATATCATATAATTCTTCACATATAGATACGTATGTAATTTCATAAACATTTATTTTAAACATAAAAGTATATCTACAAAAAAAATTGTTCTCGTTTTATGGTCCTTTTATGGTTAGTAATAAATTTTATAGTTCTATGTGGAATTGACAATCGATTAGGAATGTGCACGTGTTTGTATGTGTTGTTATGTTTGTATGTATGTTTGTACATGTGTTTGACACGTCAAGAGATTACCTATCGTGAGCACGAAATCTGGCACTGGCAATAGAATGAATGGATTATTTTCAATGGTAAGTCACTAATCTATAACAGTGTTTCAACCGTGAAGCAGTTGTGTTTGCATGGCTGTGTTTCGGTTTGAAGGGTGGGATATGGCGTGAATTTACTGGGTACAGAGGAATAACACCTGAGTCCTCAGGAATGGCAACGCATGTGGGGTATCATGGGCGAAACAGTATACTCTGTTATGTCCATGGTACTGCTCATGTCTATAGGCGACGGTTACCACTTTCCATCAGGTGGGCCGTCAGCTTGTTTGCCATTCTAAGTTGTATAAAAAAAAAATGTGTAAGTTGATGGTATTATAAATATGAAACATTGTTGTATATAAAATATTAATAATGTTTACAGGTAATTCCAATAATTCAAACATAT